AATGACCCGTGTCCTTATAAGAGACCGTGGGAGGACACAGTGGGGGGCGGGCGCTGGGGGCGGGGGGAGCCACGACGGGCAGAGATCGCAGAGACACAGCCGCAGCTAAGAACACGACCGGTTGCCGAAAACCAAAAACCGCCAGCAGCTAGAAGAGGCAGGAAGGATTCTCTCCTGAACCTTTGAGAGAGCACAGCCCTGGGTCACCCTGACTTAGGACTTCCGTCTCCAGGACTCTGAGAGCATAACTTCTGTTGTGTTAAGGCTCCCAGCTTGCAGTCCTTTGTTATGGCCGCCCCAGGACACTCACAGCCCCCCACCTGTATCCCATCACGACCTGTCTCCTGAAGCTCACACCTGCTTCCCCACCTGCCTGCCAGATAACTCCTCCCATGAGCTCTGTTCCCACTCTGGGACCCCCTGCTCGGGGATGCACCGCTGGCTGCCCAGGCCAGAGCCTGCCCGTCACCGAGACCCCTCCCTGCCCCTCGCCCGCCACCCAGTGACTCACCGGCCCTGAACTGTTCTTGGAGACAAGCCGACGTAACCAAACGCAACTCTGCAAGCCTGATGGGACTTTAAAAACAAATAGGGCCCAACGGTAGAAGGCGTTCCTGGAATCATGGGAACCTGAACGCAGGCCGGCAGCACCGGCGCTCCTGCTGGACTTCCGAGTGACAATGGTCTTGTGATGGAGCAAACAGTCCTATCCCAGGGGTGCAGCTGAGGACGCAGGGACGAAGCGTCCTCGTGTCTGCAACTCACTTTCAGATGGTTCAGAAGAGAGAACTCTACCTGTCCTGCTGCCCGTCTGGTGAGAGAAAGCAGAGGGGAAGCGTGTTAGGGATCCTTGACTCCAGGTGGACACAATGTTCATTGACCTTCCTTCCACTTCTGAGCAGGGCGCAGGCTTTAAAAAAAAAAAAAGTTTGCCCTAGCTGGTTTGGCTCAGTGGGTAGACTAGCATCAGCCCGCGGACTGAAGGTTCCCAGGTTCAATGCTGGTCAAGGGCACATGCCAGGGTTGGGGCTTGATCCCCAGTAGGGGGCGTGCAGGAGGCAGCTGATCAATGATTCTCATCATTGATGTTTCTATTTCTCTCTCCCTCTCCCTTCCGCTCTGAAATAAAAAAAGATATAAAAACAAACTGATAATGTCTCTTTTTTTTAAAAAAAGATGGCCATA